AGCGGTGGTAAATCTATTCCAGAAAACAACCTCAGATTCGGACTGATGTTATAGGTTCTTTCGAACAATGAATTTCAGAATTCCTGAACGGTGATTTACAGCAGACCAGATCAGAGCAGCTCATATCAACATGAAACTTCTTTAATAAAGAATCGTATATTTTGACCCCCCAGTGAATGAATGAATGAATCTTGAAATTCGAGGCATTCCGGCCACCATAAGGAGCCAGTGCATAGCCCGCTTAAGCGGGCCCTTATGCACCTCTACAATCCTTAGATCACAAGCCTCGCCCTTTTAGCGAAGTTGAGAATCGCCTTGAGTCCAAGCTCCTTGACGCCCTGAGGGACCAAAGTAATGGACCCCAGTATAGTATGCCTATGGTAGCTCAGAGCTTCACAGCGACACAAAACGTGCGCCGAGGTCTCTTCCTCTACCCCGCTCTACTTCTCCATTTCTGAGAGTGTTGGCTTGCAACCCACGTCTCCATTTTCCTCCTAGCTTGATGCGCGGTCACTCCTAGAGCTGGCTCAGGACCAACGAGCTTGCTGGCTGATCCTGTTTTCGACAGAGTATCCGCCGTCTCATTGCCCCTTATCCCAGCGTGCCCCGGTACCCATATTAACGATACCGGATGCCTCGCTGCGAGGCAATCCAGAGCCTCCCTGCATTGCAATACAAGACTCGAAGTAATCTTACAGGCACTTAGTGCTTTCATTCCAGCCTGGCTGTCGGATAAGATTGTTATTCTTCTCCTAGGCCCACCCTCCTCCAGAATGTGAGATACACAAGCCAGAATCGCAAAGATTTCCGCCTGGAAAATGGTGGTGTGCTCACCGAGAGGCAGAGATAGCCTAGTTCTAGGCCCAGAGACCCCAGCACCTCAGTCCTCTTCGGTGACCGAGCCGTCCGTGTACCAGACCTGCCCGCTCACTACCGGCGTCCCACTCCTCCCTCGTTGGATACTCCACAATAAACTTGCAGTTGAAGCGATATTCAGAGGGTAATACGATCACCCCTGCTTAGAAGGACGGGGTCCTCTCTTTGTAATTCGACTAAGATGGCAGTATGCCCCTTGACAGGATTCAAGAAAACCCAGCTGCCCTGACTCCACAGTCGATGAGCGACTACTCTCGCTTCACTGCGGATCACCAGATCCAACGGTGGGAGATCCAACAGAGCTTCCATTGCACTCAATGGCGTTGTTCGCACTGCGCTTGTAATACTAATACAGACTGAATTTTATTGAGTTTGGCCTTACTTGAATCAGTTCTAATGCAAGGCCACCAGATCAGGGAGCCGTACAAGAGAGATGGACGTTCTATCGTCGTTGACCCCCCAGTTGTGAAAAATGGACTTCACGTTTGAAAATGACCTTGACTTGACTCAATGTCATTTTTTGGAATAGAACCATAGTTTGTTATCCTGGACATGAGACTTGTTTGCTTCTGAATGACCTAAAAGCTATTTCTGAACGTGAAATATTATACTCTGTCCATCGGAGAGATGAAAGTCGCGGTCAAGGTCCTTATCAAAGTACCCTTTGGCTTGAACGCTTTTTTCCTGATTTCGGAGGGAATCTGTAACTTGAAATACCCTGTAGGATAATTGCTGCTGCTACAAATTCGACACTTCTACTTTGTTTCCAAACTAGCCTTTCAAAGGAATTAAAGTTATTTCATCGTCTCACATTTTCAGAAGCAAATGCCTAACTATATATCTTGTGCTTCCATTTTCTCGCCTACATATTTTCAGAAAGCTGACGGTTGCTACCCAGGAAAATACTGAATTATATTAAAGTCGTTTCCTAATATATACAGTAATTATCATCCAACATTTATCCTGTGGTTATAATGAATTACCATCGGGAGAAAATTTATATCCAGAAGTTGTATATTTATATATAATTAATTATCCTTTGTGAGTAAAACATGGGTTCTTGTCCTTAATGGAACATGATGATGGATTAGTTTTTGCATAGAACTTTTACGATTTCGAATAAGTGTCTCTTCGTTTGTTGTTATTAGTTTTGAGGAGAAAATGTAGGAAACGTATAGTTGGAAGACGCATTATGGATTGCACGAGGAATATGAGCCGACTTCTAACCTGTAACTGCATCTATTTTTACATACTGTGACAAATAGTACTGTTGGCGCCATCTGTTGGGTGAGTCTCTCACTCGACAGAGCTTCATGTCCGATCTGTCTCGCTTGGCGGCGTCTGTGAGGACCGTGGCAGTGACTCACCTTCTAGATCGACGCAAAATGACCTTCCATATTCTAGATGTCGGTTTGTGGTTCACCAGACCTTTCTCGAAGCAGCAATAGATGGAAGCGGAGTACTGAATACGGTAGAGTAGCAGAGCGGAGTGAAGTATAGTACAGTCAATGGCGACATAAGAATTAGTCATACATAAATAGTATAAATGTTCTACCAAGTTAAATAGAATAGTGCATTTCGTTTTGTGGAATCCAGTGTTTTAAACCACACCCAAAATGACCCAGAAAAACGCTACAATACGAATTTATATTGTGCAATTATGCATGCAAAATGAACCGCGCGGGAATTGATAGATATTACAATAAGTGGGGACTGAAGTTAGATACTCAAGAGATATCTTGGAGTCGAGCTTAAGAGACTGACAGCGAAATCTCATATCAACGTTCACCTAC